AAAATTACACGTACAACGGAACATCATACTAACATATAAAACTTTATCATATAGACATGCCGTCGCCCAACTACTTACGATGCTTGCTGTGATGCAACACACCGTGTTATAGTGCGGGTAAACACAGCAATCCGAAAAACTATGATACCAGAAAACACATAACTAAACGATCTTCCTAGATTTTATTTGATTTGATTCAAGGATTTTTAAAAAGGTTAAACACTATGCATTTTTATTACATAATGCCATTGAAACATGAATATATACCACATCTGCACCATCCATTTACGAAAAACAGTCGTAAAAATCATAAAATATGCACCAAAACTAAAACCACTTTAGCCCCGCCCACTTGTAGGCATATTTTTATTTATAGCGGTCTGCCGTCTGTGGGTGTGACGTCATACGCGAGAGTCCGCTCAGTGTGTTGCCATTTCAGTAGTGTTTACGCCATAGAGTTGAAAGTGACACGAAGCGCAATATTTTGAATGAAGCGTTGATGTGATTATGTATTGGAAACTGACAACTGCACTTCGAGTTTTGATGATTATCCAACTGCGTAAACAACACGGATGTACATTTCCTGAGAAATTCTATTTGACAAGAGGAAGGGCATAGGTGTTTACTGTCGTCGAGCGGATTTTGTGAACCCCGCCACCCACGGTCATCTGTTCATTACACTTTTCGAAGAAGTGCTATGAAAGAGACCTAACCTCTGGCGACATATGGATACGAAAAGGCAAAACTCAAAACTTTATAAGGATGCTATATATCGGGCATTCCTTTCAACATTCCAAACAAACACAGAGGCCGAAATATCAACTTGGGACTGAGACCGAGAGAGTTGCATTCCGGATGTGACGTTGGTTGCAGGTGAGTTTTAAGATGTAGTTGTTTTGGAGCAACATAAACACTCCAGTAGCTAGCTATATAAAGCAATAGTTGATGAAAAAGTACGTCATAATTTGCGCTCATATCCTATTTTCGATCAGAGATATATTTTCACAGCCACTGTTACTGTTACTCAGTAGAGCCAAGTCATCTATTTCCCGAGATGGGTGTGTTGTGGTGTGAGTGTGTGAGGAGGGATTGGGATAGAGGTGGGCATGGACAAATGAGAACTTGCAACATATGGGTGCAGTGGTGAGAGAGAGCTCATAATTCTTGAAACATAATTAAAATGAGTCATATCAGATAATAATCCACCAAGGACTGGTCCCCTACCATGTTAAAATGGTATGTGAATTGTGTGTATGTGTGTGTGCGTGTGTGCATGTGCGTGTGTGTGTTAGGGCATGATTAAAATGTTGACTCTCACTCTTTCTCTCATTAAGGCAATGTACAATAAATAATTTGCACAGAAGTAAGGCAGAAGTGCAAGAAATGAAAACAAACTACTGCGCAGGTTTGTTTACATTTCGCGTGCTTCCGCCCCACTGTGCCACGCCCTTCCCATTCATTTTATTTTCGTGCCATTATTTCTTGGACTGTACTGACGAGTACCGGATGGATTGAAATGTGTTTCAATTGGATATCATAGGATTATACTGCCCTAAGGTAAAGTCAAACCCTAAATAAGAATCAGAAAGGGTCCCTAACCCTACCCCTCTTCCAACCCTAAGGATCGGAAAGGGTGCTAACCCTAAACCCTAGGGATCAAAAAGGTTCCCTAACCCTAACCCCTAAACCTAAGGATCGTAAAGGGTGCCTAACCCTAATGATCGTAAAGGGTGCCTAACCCTAAACCCTAACCCTAAGGATCGTAAAGGATTCCATACCCTAACCCTAAGGAATGTAAAGGGTTGTTTGACTCTAAAGATGCAAGTGAAGGGAGACTGAGCAATTACTACGACATAGCGAGACAGTGCTTTAGACAGTGCGGTAGCACTATAGCGCGATAATTGCCCCGCAGCAAGCAGCGAGGGCTGCGCCCGGTAAAGTGCATTCTAGCCAGATTATCACCATACTAAAACCTTTACGGATAAATTTAGCAGCAGACGCATTTTATGAAATCAAGCTGAAAGTTACATAATAAACTTCATAAAATCATGAACCTCGAACGTTACTATTTCAGTGTTTACCTTCCCATACCGATATATACCGGAAGACAGGCTCAACACATTGATAGAACATTGCCGTTATCATGACTGCAATTGTTACCGTGACCGCGGAAAAATTAATTCAGTATCTAATCAGTTTTCCATGAACATGTGATAGGCAAGTGACTTGCATACCAGTCTGCAGTAGGTCAATTCAAAACATAGGTGGGATCGGGATCGTAGCACGGCTGTATGTTGTCAACTGGTGGAATCGTTGTGAATATTCCTGTCGGTCTTGCTGCTAGAAATACTTTCAAATTGAAAAGATTGTATGTATGTGATATTATCTGTATCTAGTATGCCATCCAATCCAGGTTTGACTTCGTGGAATGATTTATTTGCTAAACTAGAAGCAGACTTCAGTAAGCGAACAGGCTCGGTACCACTGTATTTTCCTTGTTGATGTAGCGACTCGCGGGTATGACGTCACGCGACCACGTGACCATCTACCTCATTATCTTGCGTAATCGCAAAATGCTTTCGTGGGAGGTGCGTTTTAGATTCCTAATACAATTTGTATATTTCACCTAATTCTATACGCGTTCAACTTCCGCTTACCCTGTACATGACGTCCGTTTTTCGCTCCTACCGCGATTGCACCATTTTCACATAGTCCTTAACAATCACGATCTGATTACTGCCTAGTCAACCATGGACCCCGAGACCTGAGTCATTGGCTCATTGAAGTCATATCTGTCAATTGATTGCCAACATGTTGTTTCTACAATCAAAGTGGCATGTATCGCAGGAAAGGAACGGTGACTTGTCAAACTGTGCCATACGTAAAATGTATCCTGCCACGTACCCAAAGTGCTGAGCCTATGTTAATTATTATGTTGAATATGTACTTGGAAAAATAGCTTTATACTAATACGATAGCAATTTATATTATCCCTGTAAAAGTAACTGTTTAAGATACAAATTCTTCAGATGATGGAACAGAAATTCTCTGAAGTTATATTTTCGGATTGTTTTTAACTGAATCACCGGTAGATTGGAGTGAAATTGCTGTATCCGGCTTAGTTGAATAACAGGTACTGTAGCATAGCAGGAACAACAATTTAATTATCATGTCTAGTGCTGTTTGATTGCAAGTTTCCTATTCATATATCTATTTTCATTTTCAAAGTTTGCTTTTTCACCTCCGAAGATATGACATCATTTTGACTGGGCACATTACACGAAGTAGCAGTTATGCTATGCACAAGCAGTCACTTGACTCAGACATTCATCATTGTATTTGTGAATAACTATCCGTATGATTTTATTACCTCCCTTTGCTGGCTTCACATTCTCACAGTAAGCCGCCGTTACAACCGAGCTTGCCAGTGTCAACAAAGATAGCGGTCGCAGCTGCGAAAGTTTGTTCGCAGTGCGACTCAGATTTGGGGGGAAAACATACAGACAAATTAACAGGTCTGAAATCTTAAAAAACATATATGCAAGAACTCCTTCTACCTCTTTCAGAGTACCTCTGCAACAATATATTATTATGTTGCCAAGTTTAATCGGTTAGATGGGGGCGGTGGGGTAGCCTAGTGGTTAAAGCGTTGGCTCGTCACGCTGAAGACCCGGGTTTGAACCCCACATGGGTACAATGTGTGAAGCCCATTTCTGGTGTCCCCCGCCGTGATGTTACTGGATTATTGCTAAAAGCGGTGTAAAACCAAACTCAGTCAGTCAGTCAGTCAGTAATCGGTTAGATAATTTAAAAAGAGAAATTGAGTTGTGATTGGTAGACACCCAGCGCCGACACCTGATTGGATAAAAAGCCAAACAAGGGAGGTAATAAAATCGTCGGCTCGAGTCGTAGATGCATCCAGGGTATAGTGGAGATCTATCAGAACATATACCCTGGAGATTTTTGAGGATGTACCGTGACAGGCAGTACAAAGATTAGTTGACAAAGCAATGCTGGATGCTGTCCTATACCTTGCAGACAAAAAGTAACTGGAAAGCGTTCTCAGAGACTATCAACTCTGAATCCAACAATGTTGCAACATTGAAGACATAGATTCATATAAAACAAACAGATAAAATCAATTAAGAATCAAACTGTAAAAATATTCATTCATGACTGACGGATGACAGAAGTTTGACAGGGTTCTTTCCGACGTCAAGTAAGAAATCAAAATATTGCCTCATGTGGGAAAACCGTCTAGCATCAATGTAATATGCATAAAAACTTCAAGATCAATATTCAGGTAAAAACAAGTCAAACAAAGGTGACACCATATCTGGTACAGCACTTGAGATTGGAGATATTTCATGTTCACAACATTGCTAACAATGGAGTAAGTTGCAAGTGACAATGACTAAATGAAATTTGTAGCTTCTATATTAAGTTCCAGCACTTTCACTGTGGCTTCACCAATATAATTTGATCCAAATTATTTCATTTGAAAAATCTGTGCTGAGTTTAATTGAGTGAGTGAGTGAGTGAGTGAGTGAGTATGGCTTAACGCCGCTTTTAACAATATTCCAGCCATATCACAGCAGGGGACACCAGAAATGGGCCAAACTTTACCAACATTTGAATGTACATTCAATAACAAGTATACATACACACATTTCACAAAACAATTTACAGTTCAGAAAAGAGACTGTTTCTAAGAATAACATGTTTCTTAAAGCATGTTTTACATAAAGCGCTAGATTACGTAATACATTTTCATTTTCTTTGTCTGGACCAGACAATCCAGTGGTCAACAGCATGAGCAAATGCAATTGGGATATGATGACCTGTGTCAATCAAGTCAGCGAGCCTGACCACTCAATCCCATTATTCGCCTCTTACGACAAGCATGGGTTACAACCCAGATCTTCACAGGTGAATTGTAAAAGGAACAAGTTCATGACTAGACTAGACTAGACTAGACTAGCACAGGGCATGAGTTTTACCTTTGATGTCCTGATCTCCATTCATTGGCACTTCACTGTAATCTGAATGAGAATCTGGAACTGGAAAGCAAAAATATTTGTTTACTCAAAATCTTAAAAAGTGAAAGGCAGTAAATGAGTTCAAATTGATCAACTATTCAAGGTTTCTTATCAACTTAAAAAGAATTGATAGATCATGGGCTGCATCATGTACACACAATAACATAAGCTCACATGAAACTTCACTTGATGTGAGAAAACAGTGTCAAGCATTGTGGTCATCCAGAACATTCCAAATTGTACATTTTACTGATATCTAAACCAACAATTGAAGGCTCTCTTACTTGGGTTTCTCATATATATCTAGGCATTCTATGCCAATTTAGCCCTCAACTTGGAACAAATTGTAACAGAAATGTCCTCAGGAATCCCAGCGTGGGAAATTTTTGAAACTGCATAATTCCAATATGGCCCCAAATATTAATAATTTATGATATATCTGCTCTCAGAAGACACATTTGAATGATTTAAGTTTTGGAACTGGGGGTTTTGACGGCAAGGATTCACATAAAATATGTTGTAACATGATTTGCTTAATAATTCATTCCCCAAAATCCAAACTAGCAACCAAAACTCAAAATATTCCCACATACACATACATATTCACGTTAAAAACAGTAGTACATCAAAATAATGTTTGCAAAAAAGTTCTATGTTCTGGTAACACTAAAAAGAAAGTAACAGTGTTTCTGCTACAGCACTTGATGGAACATATTTGCCAACAATGGCAATGATGACAGACAACAGGAGACATTAGGGGATGACAACACCAGGAAACCTGCAGCCTTACATAATCAGTATCATGTTTCACCAAGATATTCTCAACATATATATTTTAATTTTATCAGAAAATACTATTTACTTTATATGGTTGCACATCAATCACATTATCAGCACTCTGAATTCTGAAATTTCTGAGAAGATGTTAAAGCATTTTCAGAAATTTAATTGATTATGTTTCAATTCTTAAGGCAACTTGATTGTCATTCAGCTGACAGGCAATGCTAAAATTACAGATAGTTAACTATGAAGTGTTGTAAAACATAACAAAACCATGTCAATGTTTCAGCAGAAAGAACTAACAAAAAAACTATTTTGTCATATGACCTGGCCCCAATTTCTCGAAACAAACTTCTGAGTTTTTACTCAAATTGAGAAAATAAATTTCCCAGAATGAACTGAAATTGATATTAAACTCAAACATAGTAGACAATTTGAGTTTGATGGATAGATAACTAAGTTGTTTGGGCCTTTTTATTTTAAAAATGCAGTTGAGTTAAAAAATCAGCTGTTTCAAATTGTCAAACTCAGTTTGAAATTTGAGCAAAAATTTAAGTTTGTTTAGAGAAATCGGGAGCTTGATGTCTGGGAAAGTAGTATACGTGATAGTGGTACGGCATCACTTCCTCCCATGGCATTATTTATGGTCAAATAATGCCCCACTGATGGCAGAAAAATTGCGAAAACGGTGTCGACCATCGTTCGATTACCCCCATATTTTTATATACTAGGCACATAAAGAAACTGTGCATACAAAAATTTATAATCTAAATTTATCAAACCTGTGTAGACACATAAGGATTGAAACTCAGAGATTAGTGACATGTATCCAACATGCATGCACGTGCCACGTTCCGTGACGTCAGTGGGTTCGTCCTTGAGACGTGCAATACGTTGTTGCACGTGCATTCCGGGAAAGAGAAACAGAGCACATGAATGCCACACAATACTGTCACTTTGGAAAGCTCAACCCCTGTCCTTGCGATCGTTGAAAAAACTGAACGGCTATTGAAACACATAGCATGCCAAGGCTCACGTCTGCACAACGTCATGAGGCCATTGGGATGGTCCATGGGGGAATGTCTCAACGTCTCAAGCGGCTGCACACTTCCACTGCCACCGGAACACCATTTCTGCACTGGTGAGACGCTACCAGAACACAAATGACGTCATCGATCGGCCACGTTCTGGACGTCCACGTGTCACAACGCCAAGACAGGACAGATGGATAAGGGTCACCCATCTTCGCCACAGGTTTCAGACTGCAGTGATGACTGCCCGAACCATCCCAGGACTTCGCCGTATCCACCCCAACACAGTTCGACAACGTTTACGTCATCACAGGATCAGACCACGACGTCCAGCCATACGGCCTTTCCTGACACAACGTCATCGACAAGCTCGCCGAATGTGGTGCCGAAATCATGTCCGCAGACCCTTGTTTTGGTGGAGAAATGTTGTTTTTACAGATGAGTCCAGGTTTAACATTTCCCTAGTGATGGACGTCAACGTGCCTATAGACGCGTGGGAGAACGTTATGCACAGGCCTGTGTCTTGGAGAGGAATCGCTTTGGTGGTGGTTCTGTGATGATTTGGGGTGGAATAAAGCACGCCAAAGAACTCCTTTGGTGATTGTTCAGGGCAACTTAACTGGTGTGGGCTACAGGGATCAGATTCTTCGACCTGTGGCAATGCCTTTTCTGCACGTCATGGCCCTGGGTTAACATTCCAACAGGACAATGCCCGTCCTCATACGGCAAGGGTTGCTATGAATTTCTTCCAACACCACAGCGCTGACTTACTGCCTTGGCCTGCAAATTCACCGGATCTCTCCCCGATAGAGCATGTTTGGGACAAGATGGATCGACGTCTACGCCATCTTCCTCATCCGCCAGATAGCGTCCTTGACCTTGCAACAGAACTTGAAAGAATCTGGCGTGACATCCCACAAGCCTTCCTTGCACGTTTGATAGGCTCTATGCGTCGTCGATGCACTGCTGTTCTCAATGCCGATGGTGGACATACCCGTTATTGAGCTTGTGACATGGTCGTTTGACCCCTGTCCCACTTGTGGACTCGTGACGTCATTGTGATTGACTTTTCAGTTGAAATTCTCCCGACTTGTTATGGTCTCATGATCCCTCCATTAAAGTTTATATGTACCTTTGACATTGTTATCGTACTTATCAACTGGGATAATATTTTGACAATGCACAGTTTCTTCTTGCGGCTAGTATATATTAATGCTTATTTTTTCATTGGAGGTAACACCGTGTCGTGACGTACAATTAGTAATCCCTACCTGGCTAGTCCTTCAAGTAATACAAATGGGGTTGGCCTTCTTTGATATCAGCCCAATCGATAGTATACGTTTTGATCGACCACACCGGATCTGTTTAGCGACATCTATCCCCTCTTTCAAGTTCACCAGGCTGATACAAATACCTCACGATGACCCGGTCAGACGGTTTATTTTCTTTTTTAACACTCAGTGGTGTAGATGATTAGGCAGTCATCGATTTCATCTTCATGGCGTCAACTGTTTTTTTTGTTGATCAATTGAGTGATTTCATGATTGATTGCAGCTATGACTTTTGGAAAACATGCAACCCATTCCGTCGATTGTTTATCTGGCTTTACCATTCCTGTGCGTACTGGTGTCCGAATAAGCGTTCGGCTAACGTTCAGTTAAACCTCTCTACTTTAGCTTGACTACGATGGGCCCCCACCATACTGCGCCTGACATTGACCTAGTGCGTAGCTAGCAGCTGCGACATGGATCCAATAAACTCGCGACCGGGGCAACTTGTAATTTGGCAGGCCACATCAATGGACTGCGTTTGTAGATACGCTCCAGCACCTTGGCGATTTGAGTCAAATCTTTTGCTGATAACGGCTTGACCGCTTTGTATCGACTGGCGACATCCACGACGGTCAGGGCATACTTGTACACTTTGCGTCTCACCCTTTTGTGCGGGAGAAACAAGAGGTCGGCTTGATGCACTTTATTATTATTATTATTATTATTATTATTATAGGATATATATATAGTGCACATATCCACACGGGAGTGCATGCTCAAGGTGCTGATATTTTTCCCTCGATCATTGGATGTCAATCTCAACGGCACATCGCATTATCAATCTCAACTCCCTGGACGTATTGGGGAGCAGGCAGGTAGTTTTGCCACAGGGCTTGTTTCATTAACGATGCCTAGTGGTCTCTTCGGAGACTATCATGGCTTCAGCAAGCTTGTGGATGGCACCCGCGCCTTTCCAGTATCCCCACGGACTGTATTTCTCTTTTGATACAACTGTGCCTGTATGCGCAAGTAGTGACATCATCGTTGGCGATCCACCTTTCCGTATCCATTGACGACAGCAATGTTCTGTTCATTCTCAAATCATATACACTGTGCTTGTCACTTCTCAGAGTGTTCATTTCATGTTAGAAGGTTCGTCTATCGAACAGGGCCTCTTTGAATTGTTCGTGTTTGATTTGTTTTTTCACGACATATTTCTTCATGCCCTTGGGTTTTTCCCGCTGTCAGCTTTCTTGAAGGAATAAATCTCTATTAGGCCTCAATATGACATACTCGACAATCAGAGTCTTGGCACACTTGTCTTTCATTTTCTCGAGCACCTTTTTTGTTCACATGGCTGTGCAGGGCGTGGTCTTTGGAGTAGTCGCTCGTATCGTACATGTCTATTTTGTCCGTCATGTCCACATACACATTCTCGGTATAAATTTCCATCAACAACCAATCAGTGTCGGTGTACCACACCTCACATCTATTGACTTATTGCTTCTTGAGTTCGTTGTATTAGAAGTCGTACATCAAGTGTTTGGACAGGTCGAGAATGCTAATGCCGACTTAGATGGGTCTGTTGAACTTAATGTGACTCATGACCGTGTGATTCAAATCTTTGAAGGGCATTTAGAATTCTCTGTGTAATCCTCGTCAAGTAATTCTCTGGGGTATTCCAGGTCAACTGGAGTATTTACTGTTGGCTTTAACGTATCGCTTAGCTGCCATCGAAATTCCACACAACAAGGCATAAGAGGGACCCGGGATGGAGTAATACGATGTAGGGCTGCAAAGATTCACCCAAGCCTTGATTTGATACGATGTTTTATATTGAGCCCTTGATTCGCTAATTTTTGATTCGATTGTTTATGCATGTAAAAAGACATATTTCATTATCTTTCAGACTCAGCTTTTTCAGAAATCCATCCTCAAC